GATAATCTGAATATTTTTGCTTCGAAAGAGAGAGGTAAAAAAAAAGAGAAAAAAATAAAGAAGGAAAATCGTTCGAGTTGTCTCTCTCTCTCTCTCTCTCTCTCTTCCTCTATCTCTCTGTCTCTGTTTTTTTGCCAGTTCCATTCTAGATATTCTCTCTCTTTCTCTCTCTCTCTCTCTCTCTCTGTCTCTTTATCAATTTCTTTCTAAATATTCTCTCTCTGTCTGTCTGTCTCTCTGTCAATCTCTCTCTTTCACTTTATCTCTCTCTCTCTCCTTCTTCTTTCTCTAGCTGACAATATAATGACACATCGAGAAACGTTTTATTTCTCAGTTATTTACTCGAGACGTGCCTTGTAGCTTGTCTTCCAGATTTCAGCGAGCGTTACGGCGCTATGGAACCTGTGAAATATGCAGAGAGGTAATGTAACTCTCTGAACGATAGCCCAAGCGAGGAATCCATAAAAGTCAAGTTGTACGGGATTAGCGATGACCTTTTGCATCTCAAAGGTATAAATGACCCACATGGTTACGTTGCAAATGAGAAGGAAGGTGACCACTTGACGTCCTGGCTTGCTGCGATCGTGTTCGGGTAGGTGTACCCGCCTACGTGAGACATCGGCGATGAATAACATCTGAAGGACAACCTGGGCTACCGAGAGAAGGCCAGTAACCATCACCAAAAGATTTGGTTCGTGGGTAAATGCCGCCAAGGAACCAGCGATCACACTGAAAACGGCATAAACGAAGAGTCCAAAAGCCGAGACACGTAAAAGTATGTCATTCAAATCGCTCTGTTCTTCGGCCTTGAACTTGAGACTTTGGACACGTATGAAACCGACGATAATAGCGACGATCGATAGAGCCATCAAAACGCAGTGGGAAACGTCAGCCAGATAAATCGCCAAAAGTCCAAGCTCGGAGTGATGTATCAGGACGAAGAAGAGTATCAGACAGATCAACGAACCAACCAGTAGCAGCAGACCAAAGAATAGACCCTTGCTTGCCCCGACGCAGTCCACTCTGGCGTGTCCTGTATATTTGTGTTTGGTTTTTGTTTTTGGTATTTTGTCTGGTTTTGTTTTATTTATTTTTACTTTTATTTTTTCTTCATTTTTTAAAGCATACTCAATAGAGATACGTCGATCTCGTTATTATGAGCTCGACAATCTCCTTTTGGCGAGAAATAGAAGTGAAGTAGAAGTAGAAGAAAAGAGCGCTTGGAATAAATTATAATCGATTACCTGCATGTGCCAGGGCTACTGCCCTTCTCGAAAGCATGACTTCCAGACGACGCTCGAGATCGGCTTCCGCTTGATGAGGCCAACGTGGGTGTCTACCGATGTGTTTCCACATGACGTATATCACAGCGGCACCGATCAGGCTATACTCGATAATGAAGGGGAACAAATAGGGTGCTGCATCTTGGACGATAGTACCCATGATGTTGACGCGACCACATGAGTTTGTTATCATGCCATCCTCCGTCAAAGCTTCCGCATAAAAGCCAAGATTCTGGCTCCAGTAATCGCTTGTGTTCGTCGTATTGCTAACATAAAATACTTCGTGTACCTGAACGAAATGAAATGGGAAATCTTTCACATTTGAACACTACGAATATAATGTAATGTAATTTTTTATAATAATTTATTATAATGACCTGATCTTTGGTGTCAGCCTGAAATGAATCAAAGATATCACCGAAAGCATTCGACAAAATGGAAGCTGGTGTAGTCGTTGTTGTTGTTGTAGTGGTCGTAGTCGTCGGTGTAGTAGTGGATGGCGTTGTACTCGGTGTAATCGTTCTTTCGGTGGTGGTACTTCTCGTAGTCAAAGTAGTCAACAAAGTGGATAACGTAGTAGCGGCTGTAGTCGTCAAATTGGGCAAAAACGTTGTCGTTGTGGTCGTGGTAGTTGTAGTACTCTGTGTCGCAGATGGTGAGGTCATGAAGGCCGTAGAAGCTGCCGTAGATAAAGTAGTCGCTACTCTTGGGATTGCTTTGACAGTGGTTCTCATCGCTCGTGTAAGAGATTCTGCTGTTGTCGGTATCAAGGTCGAAGCTACCGACGTTGTTTTGACAATCGAATGCAACGGCGTGTCCCGTAACTGGGCCATGTCTCTAGGTTCTGTACCTAAGATTGCTCCAGCGTTTCTCAACGAATGTTGTTTTATACTCTCTATGCATAATACAATACGATACGTTTAGAATTAGACGTATTCATATTTCAATGTCTTGAAAGATTTACATAAATGTTACCTAAAATTCCGGCCTCCTCTTGTCCTAATCGTTGATGATACTGGGTGATTTCTTTGAGACTCTCAAGTACCAATGTTCTTATCCAAACGCAAAGATTCGTAGCGACGACGTGCATCAAACCAAATCGTGCAATTACTTTGAATCGATGAATGTTTAACTGGATTAAAAAAAAAAAAAAAAAAAAGAGGAAAAAAGAGAGAAAGAAAAAACAGGAATGAAAACACATCGTAATTAAAATATCGAATATATACGTAACTCTCAATATTTATCCTTACTTACCCTGGAATTCATAAAGATGAAGTACATTTGCATGAACGTGAAGATCATTTGAAGAACAGGATTGACACCCTGAAGTATTTGATAACAGGGTGAAGTCGGTGGTACCTCAAAAAATGCTCCGAATTCCAATCCATTGTAGATCATTGTACCCAAACCAAATGCTAACGTTCAATAAGACATTGTGGTAAAGAAAATTAATACTTGAAAATCTAATAATTGATAAGAGTATAATCTCCATTTTTTCTATATTTTTTTTTCCTTTTTTATTTTTTTTTTTTTTTTTTCTTTACCTATGGCACCGATTCGAAGGAAAAAACTTCCGTGACTGTGATCGTTCTGAGAAGTTTTTCGTTTTCGCAATGCGCGCGTTGCAACACCAGCTTCCACGTCTGCAGCATCCTGCAGATAAAATTTCTCAAGTCAGAATGCTATTCTTTCAGAGAATGACTGAAAGGATTTACATTGTCGGAAGATCGATATGAGGAAAGAAAAAGAAAAACAAAAGAGAGAGAGAGAGAGAGAGAGAGAGAGAGAGAGAGAGAAAGGAGAATACGACAGAGGGAAAAAAGAAAAAAAAATATATATATATATATACATACATATGTATATACATAAAACGTAAAAGAAAGATAGACAAACGAGTTTCTCTTTGGCACGAGTGCAATTCAATTACACCGATCTCGATAACTTCCATCGCACGTTTTCGATCCCGAAAAACTTTCCATCGCACGTTTCCATTCTGATATCATTCGTTTAAATTACAATCAAAGAAATTACTTTGAAAAAAATGTTAGAAATATGGATGCCTTTTGAAATGCGATCAAACGTATTTAAAAACATAACATATATGAGTAAGTAACTAAGTACTTATGTAGGATCGGTTGTTCGGTAAAAGAAAATGGAACGACTAGTGCTAAAAATATAAAAAAAAATCTCCTCACTAGACGTTTCGCATTAACAAAAGAGTTAAAAGAGTTTATGAATATTAAATACGGTAGGCTCTTAGCAAAAGGGAAGAGAAGAAAAAGAAAAGAAAAGAAAAGAAAAGAAAAGAAAAGGAAAGAAAGAAAAAAGAGAAAAAAGAACGGTCTCTTCTCAATGTACGTACGAAGATAAATAGGCAAGCTCGTTAAAAGGAGTCTTGGTCTCTCTCTCTCTCTCTCTCTCTCTCTCTCTTTCTCTTTCAATCTCTGTATCTTTCTATTCCTCATGAGAGACAAAATCGCGTGTAATTAATTCGATAGCAGCCGCGAGTCTTTTCGACTTTAATTATAAACTTCAATTAAAAGATAAATTAACCTGAAAATCCTTCTTATTCTTTGCAGCTTTTTGATCTTTATCCTTCTTGTCCTTCTTATCCTTCTGCTCCTTTGGCGGTTTAGGTGGCCTCGGTGGTGGTGGCGGTGTATCACTGCCGCGCGCACAGCAGGCGCTCTCTTGAAGTAGGAAGCAGAATACGTAGAGAAGGAAGAGTATGCTCGCACCATAGAGATACGTGAAAAATCCTTCATAATAGTAGAGCGGCAATTTGTGCGTTACAACTTCGCTTATAACATAAGCGATGCACACCACGACCAGTAACTTCGCATAAATGAAGCTCATGATGATGAAGAGCGACGTTCTGAAGCACGAAAAAGCGTTAATTAGAAAAATAGAGAAAGAGAAAGAGAGAGAGAGAGGGAGAGAAATAGAAATAGAAATACAAAGAGAGAGAGAGAGAGAGAGAGAGAGAAAGAAATAGTGAAGTAAATGTTCCAAGAGATAGTTATATAGGTACACGAACTCTCAGAGGAGAAAAAAAAAAGAAGAAAAAAAAAATAGAATCTCAGCGTCTGTTATATGCTTCTCTGAACGAATACCGCACCTAACGTATAAAATTAGATTTTTCTAAATAAAGTAAGGAACATCCCTTATTGCGTATAACAGTGTTTACAAGCTGATATAATGATATTATATAATGTTTCGTTAATCTCTCGGGTTAAATCACTTTACCGTTTTTTCTTCATAATCTGCACTCTACTGTTCACTGCCTCCATCGAACTTGTACCATTAGCCATATTGTTTTCAACCAGTGGAACGATTTCGACCTCCATGATAACGATCGATTTGAATATTTTTGTGTTTTGTTTTTCTCTTACTTTTTTTCCACCCTTTTTCCTCACGTATTAAGACGACACTTCACCGTTCTTCCTTTTTTCCTTCTTCTTCTTTTTCTTTTATCTTTCTTTTCACCGTTAAAAAAAATGACTTCCTCGTCGTATCGTAGGACCCTTATTATAAGTGTATAATTAAAAATGATGGATGGATAATCCTCTCTTCTTTCTTTTTCTTTCTTCTTCTTCTATCTTGTTCTTCCTCCTCTTCTTCTTCTTCTTTTTTCTCCTCTCGCGAAAATCCCTCTTTGTTCTTCCTTTTCTAATCCGTTTATCGATATAATCGACGAAAGTACAATTGCAACGAACTTTCGACGCGTCTACTTAAGGCCGCAAAGTCTCGGCGTCGTATGGTGTGCATCTTCGACCAGAGAAGGGCTTAACCACCCTTTGTCCCCGTGGCATTTCAGGGGTTGAGGCGTAGACCTTATTGTGTTCCGCACGAGCTCGTACACTCGACACAGACACTTTTTACTTGATGGCTATCACAATAGATAGAGAAGGAAGAGAGACGCCGTTCAAAGTGCAGCCACGTCACGTATTAATAAAAGCATAAACCTTTACGATGTTCTTTGGTTTTTTTCTCTATTTTTTCCTTCGTTTTGTTTTTATATTAAAAATATAATACGTATTTCGATAGCTCTTAACATCTCATTCATTATTAATAATATTTTGTTGAAGAAAATATCCGATCTATTAAAAGTTTCTCCGTTTCGTTTTTTTTCTCTTTTGTTTTTTTTCTTTTCTTTTTTTTTTTTTTATTGACGAAAATATCTCTTTTTATTTACATCCGTGTAACGAGTTTTCTTTTACCTTCGTCACTATAATATATATATATATATATATATATATATATATATGCAAAGAAACGATAATGGCCATTTCTTTTTGTATTCGTCTTAAAGAGGAAAAAAGAAAACAAAAGAAAACGACAAAAAAAAAAGAAAAAAAAAGAAAAAAAGAAGAAAAAAAAACTGTTGATAGCTCGATGAGCAACAATAGCAGGAACAGTAACAGCAATAGTAATAGTAGTAATAGTAGTAGCAGCAAGAGCAGTAGCAACAGCAACAGCAGCAGCAACAGCACACAGTCTTTTTTCCACTCGTGAACGAGGAAAACGCTAGGAAGTGGAAACAGTGGTGTATAGCACGGACTCGGAGTGGTCCAGGCTGCCGGTCGATATTTCGAAGTACCTACTTTCAGCTCCTGGTTCTCCTCTCTCTTTCTCTCTCTCTCTCTCTCTCTCTCTCTCCCTCTCCGGTCCTCTCGACTCACCCTAGCCACATATCTTTGTCCCTCACAAAATTTCTACCCTTCGATCGTCGTTTTCTACCCCTTTCTCTCTCTCTCTCTCTCTCTCTCTCTCTCTCTCTCTTTTTCAATTCTTTGAATATCAACGACCTCCGCGCTATTTCTCGTCTTTTTTCTCTCAACAACTTTTTGTGAGTAATTTTAATCCGAAAGAATTATCCAAAGTGAAATTCGATTCTCTTCTCTTTTTCTTTCTTCATTTTCTTGTTTTCCATTTTTTTCTTCTCCTCTTTTCCTTTTACTTCCTTCCTTCCTTTTTTTGTTTATTTTTGTTTGTTTGTTTGTTTGTTTGTTTTTTTTTTTTTTAATAACACACAATTTTAATTAATAATACGCTTGCAAACAAAGCTCTTAGAACGATAAAATATAACGGCTAACTTATTATAGGTTGGTTAGATTTTATACGAAACGATGAGAGTCGTGTCTCTGAACCGACGAAGGCAACAAACAACTCTCGTCGTTTCGTTGCACGCGTCTAGACTGTCGGAGAAGCTAAGACTCGTAGAACCACCGTTAATGCAATTGCGAATACGAGAGTAATTCGAGAAGCCGTTCCTACGCCGCAGAAAGCGTACATGCTTAACACGAGTGTCACGCTCTATGTGTTACCGATCTACATATGTGACGAGATAAAATACTTTCGGATTCTCAGTTAAATAAAGAAAGAGAAAGAAAGAGGAGGGCGGAGAGAGAGAGAGAGAGAGAGAGAGAGAGAAAGAGAAAATAGCGTTGCTTCATTTTCCTTACATCCTACCGAAGAAACCCGACTCGCTGGAATTTCAAACGAATTCTCTCTACGAAGTACAGTCGCTGAAAAAAGTAAAAAAAAGAAAGAGAAAGAGAGAGAGAGAGAGAGAGAAAATCTACGTCTCCATTTACGTCCGATGCACAAAATTTACGATAATACACAAGAGAAAACCCATCTTCGAATGTTTCATTTTAATTTCAATTTTTGTTTTTATCTTTATTTTTACTTTTTACAATTTTATTTTTTATATTCTGAAATTAGATAAGGTTACAGTATATTCTCTCTCTCTCTCTCTATCTCTTTTTCTATCCTCCTTTGTCACGCTCGGTCGGTTGTTTCCCTCGAGGTAGGGTGGTTCCTTCTACGTGCACGAGAGTATACACCTTCTCGGTTACGTATAAAAGTATGCGTTAGTCGACGTTCTCCGTTATGTTGTATATAAGTTGTAAGTACGTGCACGTACGCGCAACTATGTATATGTATATAAGTACCTACATAGGTACTTACATACATTCCGTACGACGAGCTAACGAAGTATGTACCTACCAACGTCATAAATAGAAACGCTGAATAAAACCAAGAAGATTCTTCTTTCCTCCCACCCCCGTCCCTCGACCATCAACCACCATACGTTTTCAGAAGCTTTCTTAAGATCCATTTTGTACGTCACATTTTCTCAAAGAAACGCTGAGGTATTCCAATTATTTTGTATTCTACTATTTGTACTTCTCTCTCTCTTTCTCTTTCTTTCTATCTCTATCTATTTATCTATCTACCTCTCTCTCTCTCTCTCTCTCTCTCTCTCTCTCTCTCTCTCTCTGTCTCTCTATCTGTTTATCTACCTCTCTCTCTCTATCTCTCTCTCTCTTTCTCCATGAAATAATACAACTAAACTTATAGTAAATATTTACTATAGTAAATTAGTATAGTAACTTAATCGTTTTTACAATTGCTCGTACGATTGGAAAAAAAAGAAATGAAAAACAAAGTGATTTTTAATGCTTTCAAGAAAGATCTAAACGCATAGTTTTTCTGGTCTAATCGACGTTTTATCTGTGCGTAACCTACCCTCTCCAATTCCCTCTCTCTACATGTCTTCCTCCTTCTCCTACTTCTCCTCCTCCTCCTCCTCCTCCTCCTCCTCCTCCTCCTCATCCTCATCCTCATCCTACTACTTCCCTTTGTCATCATTCTTCACGAGATATTTCTTACTTTTTCGCTGGCGTAGATCGTACATTCTTCAGCTCCATTTCTTTATTCGCCGCGTTGTTCTTCTCTGCGTTGTCCTGCGCGTTAGGCGGCGAATTTTGCGGATTTAAAGGCCTCGTGACCGGAAGAGTTGCCGTGTTGTCACCCGCGGCTGCCGCCTCAACTTCCACGGTGGCGACTTTACAATCTCCGCCACCGTCCATCGTGCAAATTGCCTTCTTTATCTATTTTGCGCGTATCGTAAATGATTTTTAAAAGAGAGATTCTTTTTTAAGTCCGTTCGTTTCGTTGTTCTTTTAGAAATGGAAATAAGAAGAAGCAATGAAATTGATCTACCCGATTTATATATACATATATATGTATATAATATATGTATATAATATATATATATATATATATATATATATATATATATATATATATATATATTATATACATATATTATATACATATATATGTATATAATATGATGAGAGAGAGAAAAGAAAAAAAGAGGAACGAGTAAGTTGATATCGAACGATTGAGAATGATTAGACCGCCATTTTGGTGAACGTCACGACGTTTGAAGATATCTAAATACGAAAGAAAATATAGTATTTCATATAAATCCTATGAAAATATTTTACCGTTTCGTATGGGATGAAAATGAATGAAAGAAAGAAAGAGAGAAAGAAATGAAAAAAAAAAAGATAAAAAAATTAAAAAAAAGAAAACGAAAGAAAGTATTGACAAACTTTATTAAAGAATATATTTCAAGTTAGAGAAAAGATTGCGAGTGTCATTTAAAGGAGAAGAAAGAATTGGTGGGGTAGAGAGTGTAAGTAAGGACAAAGAAAATAAATAATTTGCGATGTACCAAGGAAATTACGCGTAGTAGGCGAGACGGCGAGAGTCCGTACGAGAGTCTGAAAGGTAGGAGAGATACTCCCGAGCGAACCCTTTCGCGCAAACAGAGACTCGGTCTCTATCGGAGGAGGGTGAATAGAAAGAGGGATTTGTAGGTAGCCTGGAAGCCAACGAATCTGTCTTCTCTTCGACCACCGACGATGTGGATGGTTAAACGAACGAGCGGGTTGGGGACAAAAAAAAATTGAGAGAGAGAGAGAGAGAGAGAAGAAAAAAAGATGAAAAGAGAGAGAATGAGAAAGAGAGAAAAAATAAGCGAGCGAGCGAGAGAGAGAGAGAGAGAGAGAGAGAGAGAGAGAGAAAGAGAGAGAAGAAGATCGGTAAACGAAAGAGAAAGGACTATCACGAAAGTGTCTCTCTGATCCCGCGCACTTGGTCGAACGAGCTAATGGAAAATCCCGTGCGCACGACCGAACCTCTCTCAACAACCTGGAAGGATCAAGCACACTCTCTCGCTCGAATGATCGACGACGGCGGCGACGGCGGCGACGGCAACGATGGCAACGACGACGATGATAATGATGACGACGACGACGAGAACACACATCTAATACACATTCTCTCTCTCTCTCTCTCTCTCTCTCTCTCTCTCTTTCTTTGTCTCTTTTCCTATCTTTCTCGGGTACTCATGTCGAGAACGAACAAACGAACGGACATACGAACGACGTTCAACGAAGAAGGCTCACCTGCTGGAGGTGGTTAGTTGAAGGTACTCGCGGTGACTGCACCCAGGCTTCGGCGGAGGAAAAGGGTGTGAAGCGTAGAGACGGAGAAGGGATAGACCACGCAAGGGGACACAGAATTGGAAGCAGAGAGAGAGAGAGAGAAAGAGAATGAGAGAGAGAGAGAGAGAGGATATATATGGAAGGGATGAAAATAGAGAGAGAGAGAGAGAGAGAATGCTAGGAGAGAGTGAGAGAAATAGGGATAAAGTCAAGCGAATGCGCGAGGATAGAACGACGAAGAAAGAGAGAGAGAGAGAGAGAGAGAGAGAGAGAGTAAGAGTGAGCGAGCGAGCGAACGAGTGAGACAGACTCTATGTTATCAGAACACGATGAAATGGGGGTAGAATCACGATCGCCGCCCCCAGCATCCCGGAGACTGAGGCTAGCCGGGAGGTCTCTTCCCGGGCAGACTTGAGCTTCTTGCACAAGCGCACTGGCTACGAGAGAGCTTTCGTTCTATATAGATAGTTAGAGAATGAGAGAAAAAGAGAGAGAGAGAGAGGGAGAGAGAGAGAGAGAAAGAACCGAGTACAACGACGACGACGACATCCACCGCCCTCACCCCTTACCTGTACGGATCGTGTTGGACTCCATCGAGAAATCCACCAACCTCCCTCTTTATCATTTTCTCTCTTTCTCCCTCTCTCTTTCTTTTTTTCCTCTCCCGTTTTCATTCTCTATCTTTCTTTCCCTCACTCTTTCTTCAATCTACGCTCGTAATATATCCGGACGTAGGAACACCGCGCTCTTTGTCCCAATGAATGTCGGCATTGAGATTTCAACGACATCGTACATTTTACCAACCTCCCTTTCCCACCTTAGTCACCTTCACCTCCCTCCTACTTTTTCTCCCTTCTACGCATTCAACCCCAATGCGTTGCGTCTATACAATACGGCCTACTAACGCAAATATTTGAAAAAAGATATATATATTAGATGGACGATAAGTATGTTCCTTCATTCATTCGTACGACTCCTTTCTTTCGAACGAGTTACGCGCGTATTTTTCAAGAATTCATGATTGATGTTCAATCATCATGATCTTTCAATTTCTGGAGTCAAGTTATATCATCGATCATACGAAACGATTTTTCGACGATGACACGATATCGACGATTTCTAAGAATAAGAAAGAAATTCGAATTCGGATCTTGTATCCAACCCTTCTGTTCCTACGTCGATCTCTAGGAAATTTTTCTATGGCACTCATGTTCAATTATCTGATTAAATTAGAATTTTGGAAGAAAAATGTTAAAGAGAAAAATGATCGAAGTTCGTCAGATTTCCAGCTTTATTTTTCTTTAATGAGTTTTCTCGTATGAGATTCCTTGAAAAACTCGGATAATTCAGCAATATTCAGTCTATTCCAGTAATCGTTACCCTCTTTCCCACTACGAGAAAATCTCTCTCTCTCTCTCTCTTTCTCACGAAATGGTTTAGAGAGGGTGCTGCCGTTAGTAGGAACCAGGATGAGGCGGTGGATTCGAGTAGAGTGACTAGGTGGGGAGTGGGCGTTAAGAGGTAAAGGGGGGTAACCGCTCCATGCTTCTGCGACCCACTGACCCGCTCGATAACGCTGCCACCGAGGTGACTGACCTTACTCTCGTACAAAATTCTTATCGTTTGCGAGGAGTAAGCTTGCGAACTCAAAGCTCGACCCGATTCCATTTGCGATCGTTTCATCATCATCGGATATCCCATATCGACGATATTTGATATCGTTAGGGACCCTAACATCGATTTAACAAGATTCCTTTTATCCTGCGGCCATACTCTCAATACTTTTTCTCTCTAATCCAATATTCTTCTTTTTCCAATACCAAGCATCACCTTTAAAAGAGAGAAATAGAAAGAGAGAGAGAGAGAGAGAGAAAGAGAGAGATAAAGAGAGATAAAAATAATATCAATTCGAGATTTTAAGTAGTCTTGTTATCGAAAATCAAAGACAAATTAATTATCTTTCAACGTAGATTTTAGATTTTCTATATTCGCAAACAAATTAATTATCTTTCAACGTAGATTTTAGATTTTCTATATCGCAAACAACGATGGATATATATATATATTTTTTTTACAGCTCGATCATGAGTAATTACAAGGTAACAGATCTGCAATCGTATTCCCTTAGTGATAATCTAGTTTGTGGAGTGTAAACTAGTATAGTACCGTGTATATAGAATTTTTCTATCCGTTGTAATATCGCGTTTCAAGGATTACGAAAGAGAGAGAGAGAGAGAGAGAGAGAGAGAGAGAGAGAGAGAGAGAGAGAGAGAGAGAGATAACGCTCACGCACTACGAGTATTGATTTCGACTGTCGCTCGCAGTGCTGCCACGATTCCGCGTCTTTAGAACTAAGCTCCCGGACCCATCGGGGAGAGGTCATAGAAAAAAAGAAAAAAAAAAAAAAGAAAAAGAAAAAGAAAAAGAAAAAACATACAAAATAAAAAAAAAAAATGGACACGTTTTTCTCTTTTCCTCGTTTAATTATTCTTTCTTTCTTTCCTTTTTCTTTTTTTTTTTTTTCTTTTTCTTTTCTTCCCTCCGCACTCGAAACACTGTCCTACCTTTTAGAGCAAAACCATTTCAATATCTACGTTGAATATCGCGCGAGAGCGAGAGAGCGAGAGAGAGAGAGAGAGATGAGATGCAATGTGATAAAAAAAAAAAAAATAAAAACGCAGTACTTCTGTCTTTTTAACAAGTGTGAATCTTTCACTTCAATGTCCTTATAAAATTTCCTACATTTTGACACACATTCTCTCGCATTTTTAGCGGAAGTATTTAATGCGACGATCATATCATGGTCACGAAATCCACGACGAGCAATGTAATTGATTTTTACTGGAAAAACGTGAAACAAAAACTTTTCGTGAATTCCGTGAACAATAATCAACGATCAATATTTACTATTTGATAGAAACGAAAAAAAAAAAGAAAAAAATAAGAAAAATGATTCGACATAATTTTGACAAAATAACAAAGGAATAAATTATAATTGTATAAATATTGATCGGCTTATTTCATATAAATCAATTTATTAAGGTGAAGATCGAACGAGATCATAAATCCAAGTTGGCGATCGTCCTTGTATGTATTATGATATATTCGATAAAACGACATTCGTACGAGTTTTACTATCGCGCGTGAAATCGTACTCTATTTATGTAATTCTAGATACGATAATATTTATAGGCAGTTGATTTTGTTCTATGATTAATGTATTATCGATATATACGATTCGATAAAAAATTATGAATTATATCGAAACCAACACTCATGTACATATTATATATACAATATAATATAAACAAATATATATATATATATATGTATATATATATGGTATTATAAATAGATTCAACTAGTTCGCAAGAAAAGGATCACCCTTTACATAGCAAATTCGAGACTAGTCGTATGACTATAATTAGCGTGTTACTAAAACCGTAACGGGGGAAGGCTTTAACCTGTACCCTGAGATCGTAAAACGCACGACTGGCTTAAGGAAGTTTGACGGGCTATTTCGAGTTTATCCCTCTGGTATACCAGAAACTTATTCGTGATAACGAACGCACTTGAATTTCGATAGGTTTCCGTGTTAGCACGTGGCTAGAAAGGTTGTATATCTTTCTAATGCTTCATTTCAGTCAACTCGTTTATACTCTTATATCGTAAAAAGAAAAGAAAAGAAATGGAAAAAACATTTCTTTTTTCGTGTGTTTAACCTCATTCGCTCGTAGGATTTCCTTTCTCCATAAACATCTTATCTCATATAATTATATTCCGTAGTTTTGATCGTAGATATAAACGGACGTAGTTATATTTTAAAGAAACTCATATCGACGTATAAAAATCTGTAAAAAGAAATGAATTTCGTCGAAATATTTTTCGCAAAAGTGAAGAAAAAAAAAAAAAAACCAAAAAAAATAAAAAAGGAATGTGAATTTTCGAATTAATTAACATTCTCATATGCGACGTAATTTCTTCCCAGCATGATAGTTCGTTCTTGGTATAAATGGTGAAAAGCATACATACACGCGTGGACACACATACAAATATAAATACTTCGGCGAAGTTTGTATATAAGTACTTCGAATATTCGTAGAAACAGTAGTCATTTTACTCACTTAGCGTTCTTTGGCAACATGCCATTTGACGGTCCGGTGTGCGTTGGGGTGAGGCAAAGGGGTTGATTGTTCGCATTTTGTGGAACCAAGGGTTGCCTCGCGTGAGCCGGCGATGTATGAGATCCATAACCATCGGAATTAAGCTAAAATATTATATAGAAACGATCAGATACAATTTATTGTTATTTATCTTAATCGACGTTAATTAATATTCCTTGAAGATAATATTTAATTTAATATCAATTTATTACCTTAACGACGGTACCGATCAACGAGTCAGGAGGCATTTCCGGTGGATCTGGTATAACACCTGGATTCGTGTGTGCTGGATAATCGTTGTGAAGATTCGCCTCCTTAACGGGAGTACCTCCGTCGAGTCTTTCCATGTCTAAGCTATCTGTCGGTGTCGGTTGTGAGAGCAAACGCTCTTTCATCTCGTGGAGGTATGGACACCGTTGCATCTCTTCAGAGTCTTTAGTAGTCCTCTGACGATCTGAAATAATTCATTAATTAATTTCTTATATATAGAATTTATGAACTTACTTGGATGGATATATTAGGTCAATTATATTAGTTAAATTCGTATGCATTTATACCATTTAAAAATTTCGCCAAAATGCGCACGAACTTTTGGATACATAAATCTAATAATAAATGTAAATAATATATATAATATATATATATATATTATATATATATGATGACGATTAGAAAGGATGTTCCTTCTTTCACATCGATTTATTTTTAACGACGTGTAAAAAGAAAAAGGAAAAAAAAAGAAAGCAAAAAAAAAAAAAGAAAAAGATGAATTTATCGTTCGATCGCCATTGATGTTGCTATAGAGCGAGAGTTAAAAAAAAAAGGAAAAAAAAAAAAGAGAAAAAAAAAGAAACTTTCCTTCGTGCATTCTCCGAAGCGGAGAAATTGCGATCGTAAGTGAAAGATCGAGCGGATTTCAACGATGCTCGATCACTTGTTTAATAAAGATAGATAGGACTATCTTCGTTCGATAGTTAAAACGATATACGATTCGAAATTGCGTCGATGATGGTTGCGACATATACGACACTTAAATTACTCCATGGCAACCCTGAGAGATTCTGTGAAAGACCTCAAAACTCGGCCAATGCGGTCGAGATTGTACTACGAACGATCCTAGATATATGTATATGTATATCTTGATATCAAGATACGCGAAATTCTCCTTTCGTTTTGTAAAGAATCTTAAAGTAAGGAAGGAGAAGGTGAAAAAGAGGAGGAAGAGGAGGAGGAGAAGGAGTAGAAAAG